CTTAAATTGACCATTCACGGAGAAAAAATAAATTAAACCATATCCACTTTCAAGTCAGCGAAACCACACTAACTGAAGTGCTATAACTGAAAATCAGATTAGACTATTACTTAATGTGCTTACTTATGTTCCTTTTATTTATACCTTATTTAAACAATAGATATCAAAATCTAATTTGTTGCAACTTTATCGTTTTAAAATAAAACGTATCCTTACTATCTTTAAGGAACCTTCTAGTACGTAGCCCCTAATCAAACCTTATGCCCAAAAGAAAATATTTAACATTGATGCACCTTATGATCTTATATTTTATAATTAGGACGATGATATACTCTAAGTTTTTTTTTATCTCTCTATCCTAAATATAAGTCAAGATTTGTGCACCATAAAATAAGGAGTATAACTTGTGCAACGGAGCACAAAATAACAACAAATATATAGGCAAATAATGTATAAGTAGAGACATAAACTAAATAGATAATGTAAATAAAATCAATATGCTCACGATATAATCCAAAGGTGACTTTTAAATTTTAAATAATTATTGAATACATCTCAAGATGCCTAGCACAACATTAATATCAAGTCTTTGGACAATAATATTAACTGTAAGTGGCACTCTTGTTGTAGTAATCAAGTGCTGACAATAAATCCTGTCAAATAATGAGCCCATCTTTGGATGTCACTTACTACTCACATGGAAACTTAACAATTGTCACGCACTTATTACCACAGTTGCGTATGTGATTCGGCCAAATATCAACCTACCTTTGGGTATAGTTAAATATTCGCATGAATTTACATACACATTACATCTTAACATTCTCAATAAGCTAATCGACACAGAGAGGTCACTTTGGTGGCTTCATGCTTCAATCAGTTATCTTAAAAGTCAGACAAACTTAATAACAAGTCATTAGATGTACCCAAAAATTTATTCAAAAATTTAAAGTCGTTGTTGAACGCTAAGGTTCTAATGACATCACCTGAGCGCTAACAGGCTGTATCCAACACTAAGGTTGCCTCACTGTATTGTTTTCGAATCAAACTCAGTAATATGGTTATTCATAAAAATGAGTATGAATTTGAAAACATCAAATCCATCTTTATTTTGAATTTGAGCTAAAGATTATGTGGGGCTCACAATTCAACCTTATTTAGATTTAGAGGGCAAAATAACCAATAAATCTAACCTTATATGGATTTGAACCAAATTAATAACTCGATTTAGCCTTAAAATCAGAGTCTCGAGTCAAATACCAAATGAGTCAAGCCTTATTCGGTTAATAATAGCCATTATTCATATGTTGATTCGTTAATGTTTAAATTATAATTGGTCAGAAACTTATTGAATTAATAAACTAATTCATATCCTTAATTCGACCCATTAATTAAAACATTTAAGCCTAATATGGCATGAACTTTAAAATCTGAAAATTCCCTAATTAAGCCTTAGAAAACCGAATTTGAAATTCCAAATGAATTTCACTTTATTGACCAAACAAAACCTTAAGTGAATTTAACAGAATTCACATATTAGTTCAGTCCCTCAAAATAATTGAAATATTTTAAACGGCCCCAAAACCTCAAATTAACTTTTTTTTTTTTTTTTATTGCTTAAAAAATGCCCTTGCCCCAAAACCAGAAAATCTTTCAACTTAAAGGACTGAATTGAAATTTTGAGAGAAAAGTCTTTGGAAGAAAACGGACCTGAGATTCAGAAATACTTAATTTTAGATTTATAATATATTTTCGAAAAATATATGACTGCTTTTGGGAGAAACTTTAAAAGTTGGGACTGAAATGCAGTTTTCGAAAGCTTGAGGTCTGTAATACAGATCTTTCATTATTTCAAATTGACCCCGGCTGAAAATCAGGAATAACCAAAATATGGGCCAAATTGAAATATTGCTAAATATCTCAAACTTAAATTAGGGGACCAAATTTGAATTACAGAAACCCTAAATCTGGGGTTAAATTGTAATTTCCCAATTTTCTTTCTTCAGACCCGCCGCCACCACAATGACTTTTCAACCTAAGCAACACCACCGCCGAAAACACACAACTCACACTCTCTCTCGGTCGGCCACTAAAGATCCCTTATTAGCGAATCCCCGCCGCCAAGAATCGCCAAGGACAATGGCTTGTGTTCGCTATATTGGCCGCCGGAAACGGGAAGAAGATGGTGGTGTGAGTCATGGTCGTCGCCGCGGAGAATCTTGCGACCGTGAATCACAGCCGAATGGCCGCCGTCTTCTCCTGGCTGAACTAAAATTTGTTGTGGTGGTGTTGGTATGGTGATGGTGGAACCATAGGGAGGACTAATTTTAAATTATTGCAGCGGTGGTGCCGAAGGATGGCTCGGCCGGAAAACCAAATCAGCCGCCATTCATTTACCGTTGCAAATTGGAATTTCAGACTTTTATCGTAAACCTTAATTCTTTAATCTTAATTCAATTCATAAGAATTGACTTAATCATTAAAAAAAAAAAATCATGTATCCAAAACGGAATCAATCAATAACAATAGAACAATTTCAAATAATTGAATTGTATATCAGATTCCGATTCGCATAAAGAGAGGAAAAATCAGATATGCAACCCAGTAATTAAATCGTATTTCAGATTCAATACTAGCCCTAATTTCAGATTCAATGTCTGACCAAAATTTTTAGATCTTAATTCAGGATTACATAACACAATTATGGATTCAAATTTTGATAACAATTTACATAATCAAATTCATAAAATCATATCTCATATAACACCTAAATCCCCGATGATTCAATACATGGTGGCTCTGATACCACTTGTTAGAAATTTATCGTATATACATACGAATTCCCAAGAACCAACATGCTTGAATCAACGAGAATTATACAGAAACATAAACACGGAAGCGTACCTTACATCATTGAATCGAATCTTCGAATCTCCACTGGATTTGGGACAGGTCTTCCAAAGAATCCGCAGTTCCTTAATTATCTCTCTAACGATGGATTTTAGAAGAGACGGAATGGTTGCGTTTCTTTGGGGACCACGACCCTTTTTATAACTGTAGAGTCCAGTTATATTATAATTGTGATTCAGCCCCATCAATAAATCACAACTAAGCCCTAATTGTCTCTACACATTAGGCCCATAATTATAGTTTAATACCCATAAGTCCAACCCAATAACCTTTATTAGATCACAATTAATTTGGACTTTCTTTAAGATAGCCATACACATTCACGTCACATATGTGAGCCCACATAATTATTGAAATAATTCCAACACAAAAGGGATTATAATTTTACATTGCGACGTTTCTATAAATCATCGCCGCAAGCAAATTTTATATAAATAAAATAGTCAGATAAATGCGACGTTAATCAAATTAGTCGCACGAATCGAATCATAATTGCGACGTTACTGCAATAATCGTCGCAATGAAAAGTTTAATGAAATAAATTGCCGCTTTTATTGCGACGTTTATTTCGATTTTATCTTTTTTTGTCGCAAGTAAATTCAGAATAAATTAATTGGAAAACTATTGCGACTAAAAAACACAAAAATGTCGCAATATTTCCAATGACATTGCGACGTTTTCCTATATTTGTCGCAAATATTATTAATTAAAATTTGTTTGGATAATATTTTTCCCATTGCGACGAATGACCAAATTAACGTCGCACATTTGCGACATATGTATAATAAACGTCGCAAGTTTTTCAAGGAAATTTTAGCAGACAATTTTGCGATGATTATTGCGACGTAACGGAAAATCGTCGCAAGATTTACTCAATTTTTTAAATGTAAAATTAATTTATACATTTTTGCGACGATTATACATAAAAACGTCGCAATTTGAGCGACGACGATACATTTTTCGTCGCAAAAAAAAAAGTCGCCTGAAATGAAATGTGGCCTAGTGTTTGAACCGTAAATTTGATTAAATAACTATCCACTAAGTACACATTCGATGTAAATAACCAGGTGTAACATTTAATTTATTCGAACACGAAAATAACACATATATTTGTAGATGAATATGGGCCCATAAAATTGAATTGCTCAATATGAAAAAAATAGGCTATAATTAACTTCATTACCGACAACGCCTATAATTTTCATAGTTATATTTACACCCTTGGGCTATGCATTGTCTAACATTTCTCCACTCACGGCGTCAATAATAAAATATCTTTTAGATTTCAAGAATATTCTTTAAGAAGTTCCTATTTTTCCCCTTGTACTATCAGGGGTGTAATTGTAAGATTTTTATTTACTAGGTGGTGAATTGTAATATTTTTAAATAATCTAAAATTTAGCTGATATATAACAGTGCATTTGGATGGAAGGATTTGGGGAAGGGATTTCAAATCCATAATAACAAATCCCTTGGACTTGTTTGGATTGAGGGATTTGGGGATGGATTTCAAATCCACACCCCTCCTTTTTAGTTATGTTTTGAGCAATTGAGGTGGATTTCAAATGACTCCAAAATTGGAGTCATTTCAAATCCCTTCTCCAAATCAAATCCCTCCCCAAATCCTTCCATCCAAACGCACTCTAAATGTTGCACGACTAATTTTTTCTTTCTCTCAATATATTTGCCTTTTCCTATCACATTTACATGATATTTTCAAATAGCACCTCTAAACTAGTAGTAAATTTTGAACTCTCGATAGAATCCATCGTTTTTCGTTAATTTCATTCACGTGGGGATTATTTTATTTACTGTAATCCGAAATCTCATTTCAAGAATCACTGTAATAACATTACAGATTTCTAAAATCTAATGCTATATACACAAAATAAATTCCAATATCCTTGTAATAAACCAATCACATGAGCATGGATTACATCAATCCAACAAGAGATTACTCATGCAATTTAAAAATGCTTCTAAAAAAAAGGCAAAAATAATAAAAATGAATTCACCACAAACTCTATAAATAGGGTTTAAGATACATATAAATCTTCATCAAACAATTCTCATCACCAAATTATTTGATCATGGAGCCAAAGTATAGTTTTCGCTCTCTCTCATGCTTCGCATTTTTCGTCCTTTTCCTTCTCGATGCTCAAGCACATCCACCTCACCGAAAAGAAACCGACAAAACCCCACAAACCCTAGATTACCTCAAAAATTTGGTCGGAATCCGAAAAGGGAACTCGGCAAAAGGCCTTTCCCACCTCAAGAATTACCTCTCTAACCTCGGATACATGAACATCGAAGGTATTAAAAAACCGCCCCCCGGAGCAAACGACGACTCGTTCGACGAGAACCTAGAACTCGCCATACGAGCCTACCAGAGCTTCTTCAAGCTCAAGGTCACCGGCATGCTCGACGGGGACACCGTAAAGCAAATCATGGAGCCTCGGTGCGGTGTAGCGGATAATTTCGCGGTCCTCAACAAAACCCTGCTCCAGAGCAAAATGCCAATAATAGCCTCGCGCTACACTTTCTTCCCGGGCAAGCCCGTGTGGCCCGCCGGAAAGAGAAGCCTCACGTACTCTTTCCCACCGGGGACTCGGCCCGACATAAACCGTTGCTTGTTGGCCGCCACCGACATTTGGGGAGCCAATTCCGCGTTTGGCTTCACGTACATCGACGACTACGCCAATGCCGACGTGAAGATCAGCTTTCAGGTGAGGGACCACGGAGACGGGAATCCGTTCGACGGGCCCCTCGGAATTTTGGCGCATGCGTTCGCGCCCACGGACGGGAGGCTGCATATGGATGGAGACGAGAAATGGTGCGACGGTGTTTACGAAGGGCAGTTCGATATGCAGACGGTGGGGCTGCATGAGATGGGACATATTCTAGGGCTTATGCATACAGGTGATGTTGGTGCTGTTATGTATCCTTACATTGGCCCTAATTCCAGGAAGGGTTTGGGGCAAGATGATGTTGATGGGATTAAGGCTTTGTACCCATTTTAATTAATAATTAAGACCCTTTATTTTTATTTTTATTTTTGGGGTTAAAGAAGAGGTGAATTCTTCTTTTCTTATGTAATTCATTACAAATAATTCAACATCAAGAAATTTCATTATGGTTAATTAGTAAACTTTTGTTTTTTTTCTTCCCATCATAGTCAATCATTCGGGTAAATTAGATGCGACATCTGATTATCTAATTTACACTGGGTGAATTTGAACAGTAAATTTAATTAAGGGTAAATTACAGGGACCCCCTGAGGTATCATCAAATAACTCACAAACCCCTGTCGTTTTAGGAATTACAATAACCCCCTGAGGTATTGCTCCGTCTAACAGTTACCCCCTTACGGCCCCCTTACTAACGGAATCTACAAGATTCCATGGAATATTCGTTTTCAAATTCCAAATATGCCCCTGTACACGTGTCCCAGTAGGTAGTTATTTTTGTAAGACTAATATACCCCAGAGGGGGCTAATTGTAATATGTTTAATTTTATAATTATAAAAAAAAATTCAAATTTTAATATAAAAAAAAATAAAAATTATGACCGTTTTTTATAGCCGTTGTACCATGAGGGGTTAATTGAAATCGAAAACATTCCAGAGGGGGGTAATTGTAATGTCTGAACAAAAATAAAAAAATAGCCGTTTTCCCCCCACCCCTTATATAAGTGTCACCATATGTTCAATTTTTTTGTTCACTCAACTTAATCAAAGTCACTTCGTTTTTGTAATTATATGGCATCCTCAAGTAATAGTTCTCAAATCAGTGGAGTTCGTTACAAGAAGCAGAAATGCAAGCGTTCGAATTGTGGAAAAAAGACTACTATCATGATCTCGGAAACAAGTTTAAATCCGGGGAGGTTGTTTTATTGTTGTTCCGAGCACGGTTTCTCTCACTGGTGTGACCCGTTTGACGGTCAGCAAAACTGCTCACACAACATTTCGAAGGACTTTCATGATGAAAGTGAAGCAACTAGTGCAAAAAAAGAATCTGCAGTCAAAATTGAAGAACCTGCAAATGGAGTAATTCATAGCCTAATTGTTTTAAACCTAGCAATATTTGCATTTTATATGTTATGCCAAACATTTGTGCTTATATTTCACTAGTGTAACAATAAAAAAAAAACTTGTATTTTCAATAAATGCAGATTCCCAACTACACAAAAAAACCACAATATTCTAATTCAATTGACTTACAAACTTGTTCACTAACAGAATATAAACACAGATTCCCGAGTACACAAAATACCCACAATATTCAAATGCAAACTGACTTACAAACTGGTTCATAAACAGAATATAACACAGATTCCCAACTACACAAAAAAAGACCACAATATTCTAATCCAAACTTGTTCACAAACAGAATAACATCAGTTGGTCTACAAAATAACTACAAGCTTCCAAAATAATAACAAAACAGGCCTCTTTGGCTTTCAAAAATATGCCTAGTCAAGTACTTAACAAAACATGCCTCATTATATTAATCATTCAAACATGCATAATCAACATTAAAACCTCATCAAAGAAAGGAATTTATCTGCACTCATCTTGGGAAGAAGATGATCATATTTAGTGGTCATGGGGTTGCCAATAGCAATCCTACTCAGCCTCATTCTCTCTTCAAATTCATCATCAAGTTTAGATGTTACCCTGGAAGTTGATGTTGTTGCCTTGGAAGGTGGCTTCCAAACAGGCTGTGAAGATGCCTTAGAAGCTGTTTTAGCTGCCTTGGAAGATGGTGGCTTGGAAGATGTTCCCTTGGAAGTTGTTGCCTTGGAAGTTGTTGCCTTGGAAGCTGGTGGCTTGGAAGTTGTTTCCTTTGAAGCTGGTGGCTTGGAAGCTGTAGCCTTTGAAGGTGGTGGCTTGGAAGCTGTTGCTTTGGAAGGTGGTGGCTTGGAAGCAATTCCAGATGAAGGTGGTGGCTTGGAAGCTGTTTCCTTGGAAGGTGGCTTGGAAGCTGTTGCCTTGGAATGTGGCTTGGAAGATGGTTTTGAAGTTGTTGCCTTTGAAGATGCTTTTAAAATTGCCTTAGAAGGAGCTTGAACTGGACAGTGGGGCCATCACATTGAACAGTGGGGCCATCAACTTGGACATATGAGCTTTCTTGAACTTGGATGGATGGGCCTTCAGCTTGTAGATCACCCTGAATATTTAAAAGACAATAATGAGAAACTACTGTTCAAAATATATACATCATATTCAAAAAATAACTATGATCTTGTAAATATACCTTGTGTATTTTCTTTTTTTTTTTGTGGTTGATGGCAGTATTTGATGCTTTTCTCTTGCCAACTCTACTTGACTCAGCAGCTTGTGACAATGGAATTTCAGCTTCAGGATTGTTGGATGCTTGGAATTGGCTGTCACCTTCAACATTTGCCTACAAACAACATCATCAAATGCAAATCAACTAAACAGTATTAAAATACAAACAATATCAGCTAATGCAAATCAACTAAACAGTAACACAAAACCAAAAAAAAAAAAGTCTAATTACACATTTACCTCAACACCAAAAGACCTTGGAGCTCCTTTGCAAGTTCTGATATTGTGCCCCAAGCCATTACACCTTTTGCATCTAACAACAGAAGACCTCTTTGCAGTTTCCCCCTCATTTGGTGCTCTTCTTCTGTTTTTCTTTGGCCTGCCAGGTGGTCTTCTATAAGTTGGAGGCAGCAAATTTTGTGGAGTAACAGTGGTGTCTTCTGGCCACAATTCAGAACTTGTAATGGCATGAATGTGGCGACTGTAAGTGGTGAGGTACTGCTGTTTGGATAAACTGTTGTGAACGTAATCCTCTATGTTTTCCCTTCTGTACAGAATCCCCAAAATTGCATGGTTGCAGGGGATTCCACTCAGATCCCAAACCTGACACTCACAAGTTCTACTAGATAACTTAACAATAAAAAGTTGGTTATCTTCCTGAACTTGGAATTCATTGTCACCAGCAACAAAGAAACGACATTTCCTAGCCTCTAACCTCTCCTTGTTCAACCTTATCACTACATTTTTAGGAAGATCAGTTTTCCACCTAATTCCCTTTTCCCTCCTCATTATCAGCCTATTCATCAACTTTGCTCTAAGTCCATCTAACAAATGAAAGAAAGGCTTAAGCCTAAGTTCAGCTATCCAGTTATTAAAAGACTCAGAAATATTATTAGTGACATGATCATTCTTCAATCTCCTATCATATGCATATCTAGACCATAACTCAGATGGAATCTTTAAAAGCCAGTTATAAGCCCTAATGTTATGTTCTTTGATTTTGTACATGGCAAAGTTAAAACCTGGAGCAGTATATGACCTAGCAGCTTTCCAAAACCACTTTTTTAGGGGAACCCCAGCAAATGAACTTCTAAAATTTGCACAAATGTGCCTAGCACATTTTCTGTTAATGGCATGAGGGACTCTCTCTGTTATTGCCTCCACCTGTCCCTACAATAAAGCAATGAATTCATTAGACATAAAAAAAACCACATGAAAAATAATATCACAAGAAAAATAATAAGAAATAAAACTGACCTTTTGTCTGTCTGTCATGAAAGTCCATGGTCTTCCATCAGAAAATCCATCAAACATGATACACAAATTGTGAAAGAAGAATCCCCAACTCTCCTTGGACTCAGTTTCCACAATAGCAAATGCTATTGGGTAGAGGCCATTATTTGCATCCAACCCTATTGCAGACAGTAGCACACCACCATATGGACCTTTCAAATGGCATCCATCAAACCCTAAAAAGGGAGAACACCCATCCATAAATCCATCTCTCACAGCAGCCAATCCTAGAAAGAATCTCTTGAATGTTGGACCCCTAGGGATGGAGGGATTTTCATCATTTGCAATATCACACTGTAGTGTGACAACACTTCTAGGATTGCTTTGTTGTACCATATAAGCATATGTGGGCAATTTCTGAAATAGCTCAGCATGGTTACCTTGAATCTCCTCCATTGCTAACATCTTTGCTCTGTACATTTGGATATAATAGGTAGACACCCCATATTTTTTTATCTCATCCTCTATACCCTTCAAATTCAAGTCTGGATTGCTTCTTAGTACATCAATCAGTTTTGAGGCCATCCATTTGGCAGTAACCTCTTTGTCAGCTGAAGTCCTTACACAGTTGTGAGTGTCTGTGTAAGTCTTGATTTGGAATGTTACATTGTCTGGTAACACAGAAGCATGGATTCTCCAGCTACATTTTTTCACTGAACAATGAGCAGTCACCATTTTTCTCTCATTTTTCTTCCTTACACACTCAAATTCTTCTTGAATAACATAATCCTTCAATGCCAGCCTAAAAGCATCTACATTGTCAAACACTTGACCCTTCTTTAGCACTATCTGATCTCCCTCTCTGTGAGTATACACATGATCTCCAAACTCCATGCATCCATTCAAAGGATCATTGTCAAACTCTTCATCTGAGTTGTTTGCAGCTTCACAGTGGTCATCTGACTCATAATCACTCAAAAAATCATCTTCATATTCCTCTGCATCACTCAACTCAATCTCACTTCTGTTATCATCCTCATCAATGTGTGCTATAAAATCATCATCTGAATCATCAATGGCATCATCCCTACCATCATGCTCTTCTACTGGCACATCCACATTTGGCTCATCTTGTTGAGCTTCATCAGCAATTTCAGTCTCTATGAACTGAACAATTTCTTCAATGCATGCAGAAAGATCACCCTCATCCACATTTGCAGCCTCCTCATTTTCTTCAATACTCACCTCAGCAGCCATACTAACAGGAGATTCCACAAATAAGTCAAACCAGTCATTCTTTGTATTTCTTTTAAACATGTTCATCATCACATCATTATTATTTTTAATCTCCATCACCTCACCACCATCAATAGTACATGAATATCTTAACCCTGATACTTCAATACTAGGGAATGACTCTACAACATCTAAACCCAAATCAATATAGTTATACACATCTGGATCAACACCACTAAGCTTCACTTTGGAGCCAAAATAATTCAGAACAATGCAATACAACTTATCTTCCATGCCTGCAATTAAAAATAAATAAAATGTTTCAATTAAAAATAAATAAAATGTTTCAATTAAAATAAATAAAATGTTTCAGACATAAGCAAGTTGGGGAATATAAGGAGAAAAATTGCAAATAATAAAACCTGGGTAAAATGCCCAAAATTGATAAAATGAAAGAACAATTAAAAACACCTAAATCAATAAGTCTGGGTAAATTTTGAGAGAAAAAAACATGGAAAAAATTCGAAGAGATTTACAAAACCAGAAATCTTGAAAAAACCCTAAATTAACCCATTTAACAACATGGGGAAATTGAAAATTTTTACCCATAAATAAAGGGGAAAGAGACGAGAAACCTAATCCATTAACCACATCATAACAAACCAAATCTCAGAAAAAATGGGTAAAAACTCACCGTTCTGTTTGCGTATGAACAAGCAGGAAGCCTTCTTCGTGCATCCAACGAATTTCCAGCCTTCAACCCTCAACGCAGTCAACTGAAGTGTGAAAATTTCAACAAAAGAACTCGAATCGCAGTGAGAGGCGAAGGAAAGTGAGAGAGAGATTCAAGAAAAATAAAAACCCTAAAAATTGCAGTGAAACGTTTTTAGAAATCTGCAAATGAACTTGTGGGTAAAGTGGACTTTTCCATTCTTTACATTTTTCGTTTTTTTTCCAGACATTATAATTTAAAGGGTAATTCGGTAAATTCCTTCATTCTGTTAGCATAATTGACGGTCGGTCAATTTCAGGGGGGTTATTGTAATTCCTAAAACGACAGGGGTGTGTGAGTTATTTGATGATACCTCAGGGGGTGGGTGTAATTTACCCTTTAATTAATTTAACTATCCACTAAGTCTAACACATTCAGTATAAATAATCAGGTGAAACATCTAATTTCATATCATTCATACACAAAAATAACACATATATGTAGTAGATGAATATTGGCGCATAAAATTCAGTTGCTCAATATGAAAGAATTAGGCTATAATTAACTTCATTACCGACACCGCTTACACCTTATGATCAAATTATAAAATACCCCTCTAATTTTTATAATTATATTTGCACCCTTGGGCTATGCATAGTCTAACATTTATCTACTTAAAGCGTCAATAATAAAATATCTTTTAGATTCCAATAATATTCACTAAAGAGTTCCAATTTTCCCCTTGTACTATCAGGGGTGTAATTGTAAGATTTTTATTTACTAGGTGGTGAATTGTAATATTTTTAAATAATCTAAAATATAGCTGATACATAAATGTTTGCACCACTAATTTTTTTCTCAGTTCATTATTTTTTTTCCTTTCAGATTTACATGACATTTTCAAATAGTACCTCTCAAACTAGTAGTAGATTTTGAAAAAAATAAGTACATTGTGTTTGTGATCTCTAACTTCGACGCACAAATTTGTTTCCATGAAAATATTCATCTTATAAAACATTAAACAACGAGATTTATACATATGATCAGTCGCATTTTTAAATCTTCTAATTTGTTTTAGAGAAAATAAAATGTTGAGAACTATTTACGTATATATGGATTTAGAAATAATTTAGGGTTAAAATTAAATAAACATTTTAAAATCAAGATATTTTCCTAATTTCAACTTTTTCAAGGACAGTTTGGATATTCCACAAATTTCGTTAAAATCTTTGAACTATCACTAGTTTGAGAGGTGAATGTAGTTTTACAAACAAAAATGGGGATTTTTCGTAATTTAGACACACTTACTTTAGGGGTATTTGTAATTTAAATATTCATATTTTGTTCTCTTTTGATACCGGGTATTATTCGTCCAGTCGAAGGGGAAGCTCACGCCGCCCTTAAAGCGATCCTTAAAGCATCCTGTCGAGGTTGGCCAGCCGTTATTATGGAAGGGGATTGCTTGAATATTATCGGAGCCCTTCAAGACGAAGATCATTCTCTCACGTCCTATGGTGCTTTTATAGAGGAAATTAAAATTATTGCCAAAACTTTTAATAGTTGCTCGTTTTCTTTTGTTAGCATTGTAATCAACTTGCTCACTTCCTTGCTAGGGATTCAGACTTTGCTTGTCTGGAGGGTTCATCTGTACCTCCCAACTTGGCGTTATGCCTAATATATGCTCATCGTTTTCCTTCAAAAAAAAGAAATCACCGGTTTTCTCGATCTAGAAACCGTAATCCTAATGCTACAGCCCCGTTACGGAGTGGTCGATTTTTTTATTAACTCGCGGTTTATTAATCCAACCAATTCGATTATTTTGAAATGCTAGAAACAAGACAAATTTAAATAAATCAGGAATAATTACACTTACACCCCACATAATTCAACCAAATTGATATTTGTCCCTATTATTTTCTAAAATCCATTTTTAAATTTGAAAAATTCAGAAATATTATTTTACACCCTAAATAATTCAACATGAAATCTCCAAAATCCAATACAGATAGATACACTCTGTGACTGTAATCCGGAATCTTATTACAAGAATCACTGTAATAAATTCCGATTTCTAAAATCTAATTCCATATAGACAAAATAAATTTCAATATCCTTGTAATAAACCATGGATTACATTAATGCAACAAGAGATTACCATGCAAGACAAGAGACAAACCAGATTTAATTAATCCAAGTTTAATATATAATTATAAAAAAAAGGCAAAAATAAATAAAATTAAACTTCCCACAAATTAAACTCTATAAATACGGCTGGGGCTTAGATCTAAATCTTCATACCAGCACCAAATTCTTTGACCATGGAGTCAAAGTACAATCTTCACTCTCTCTCATGCATCGCATTTTTCCTCCTTCTCAACATTTTTCAAGCTGACGTCATCAATGCTCGAGCAGTGCATCCACCTCATCAGCATGACGTCACCAAAAAAAACCCACAAACCCTAGATTACCTCAAAAACCTAGTCGGAACCCGAAAAGGGAACACGGCGAAAGGCCTTTCCCACCTCAAGGGCTACCTCTCGAACCTCGGATACATGAACATCGACAGCATAATCGCCAAGCCTTCCCCCGAGCAAAACAACGACTCGTTCGACGAGAACCTCGAACTCGCCGTACGAGCTTACCAGAGCTTCTTCAAGCTCAAAGTCACCGGCGTGCTCGACGCCGCCACCGTGAACCAAATGATGCAGCCCCGGTGCGGCGTGGCCGACAACTTCTCGGTCCTCAACCAAACCCACCTCATGACCGAATCGCCGGTCATCGCCAAGCACTACACCTTCTTCCCGGGGAAGCCGGTATGGTGGCCCGGAAAGACCGATCTCACGTACTCGTTCCCCGCGGGCGCGTCGTACGACCTAGACGAGGGCATATTCGAGGCCACGGGGTTATGGAACAACAACTCCATCTTCAAGTTCGCGTACATAAAGGATTACGATAAAGCCGACGTGAAGATAAGCTTTCAAGTGTGGGACCACGGCGACCGGGCCCCGTTCGACGGGCCCGGAGGGGTTTTGGCGCATGCGTTCGCACCGACCGACGGGAGGCTGCATTTCGACGGGAGCGAGAAATGGGTAGATGGTGTCAAAGATGGGGCGTTCGACGTGCAGTCGGTGGGGCTCCACGAGTTGGGACATATACTCGGGCTCGGCCATTCGGCAGATGCCAATGCAGTTATGTGGCCTACTTTTCAAACTAAACAAAGGAAGGGTTTAGGGCAAGATGATATCGATGGGATTAAGGCTTTGTACCCATCTTAATTACTGTTTAATTAATTAATTAAATAAGAAGAGGTTAGTTATATATTTCTCTTTTGATCTAATTATGTATGATCAAGAAATAATTGAATATCAAGTGATTTAGTTATAGTTAATGGGCAAATTAAGGCCACCCGACGTAAATTATGAAAGAAAAAAAAAACTCCTTTTATTTGGGTAATTACAGTCGACCCCTCCTTTAAAATATTTTTTTACATAATTTTATGTATTTCGGTTATTTATCGAAGTAAGCCGAATATTCAGTTCGGTAAACGGTATAAAATGTTGGCGTACCGAAATTTCGGTTCGATTTTACCGATTTAACATCCCTAAATTTACCTCTTGAGGGGTATTTTTGTAAAATAATACATAGTTTAGGGGTGGTTGTAATATAATTATCCAAACAGGAGAGGGTTTTTCGTAATTTGACCGTAACTCAGGGTTATTACAAAATTAACCAATACCCGTCAAGTAAGGTCAATTTACAAAAATACCTATTCACTTTTCATAATTACATCATTTATCCTCTTGAGCTATGCATGTTAACATTTTTGCACTTACGACGTGGATGATAAAATATCGTTTAGATTCTAAGAATATGCCCTAAAAAATCCGATTTTCCCCTTGTACTTTAAGGTGTGTAATAATTGTGAAATATTTTTTTACTAGGTGGTGAGTTGTAATATTTTTCAATAATCGAAAATATATATGGCCGATTTATAAATGTTGGACACCTAATTTTTTTCTCTTATAACATTATTTGTTTTTTTCCCTAGAGAACATTTCACAAAATCTAGAAGATTATGTTGAATTTAACATTATAAGTGTGACCGTATAAGAAGGTTCATAGTTGAGGAATAGTTTTAATTATCCAAATATTAGAGATTTTTTTGTAATTTATCCCACAAAAAAAAGAAAAAAAAAAATAAAAAAGATTAACAAACTTTATGGTTTGTTGGGCCAATATTCAATTAAGGCCTGTTGGTGGTCGGGTGGGTCGGGGATCCGTATTTTAATGGGCCGGGTACAAATTACACAACACAACCCAATTCAATTTGTATGAACCCTAACGAATTAAACTAGCCGTTAGAACAAAAAAGGCAGCGAGATTAAACTAGCCGTTCGAAATGATTTTTGAATTGTCGATACACTCGCTATATAATTAATCTCACCCCCTCCCCTCTCTATCCTCTCTCTCTCTGTTTTCTCTCTCTAGCACATTAGCTTGCAGAAGAAGAAGAGACCCATTTTAGTTGTTGCCCCTTAATCATCTCTTCTTCTACTTTCGATCTGCGTAAAATCTTTGAATTTTAGATCTGAACTAGTGAAGGAAGGAAGAGATGGCGACAGTAAACAATGCCCACCACCAAGATAGCAATCCAAACACCCCCGCCGCCGCCGCCGCGCTGCCGAAGCAGGCTCTCCCCACCGCTAAAACCGTCGACACCCAATCTGTTTTGAAAAGGTATGCTTCCGAAATTAATTTTGATTTTCCTTCTGTCTACTATATTAATTAGGGTTTCGATTCCGTTACCAATTCATCTTGATTTGTTTCCGCCTGCGAAAAATTAACTAGGGTTTCGATTCCGCTATCAATTCATCTCGATTATGTAGATTTAAATTAGTTTTTCCCCTTTTTGTGCTGTGACGAATTATAATTAGTAAATTAATGAAAATGGTAATAATTGGATCCAAAATTAAGCCATGTATTGAGCAATTAACAGTAATCTCATGAATTTAGCCCACATAAACAATAGAAGTGATTAATCAAGCTGGGCTTTTATCAGATCCAACCAAAATCTACATTTTATTATGGTTTGCCTTCTCAATTCATGGTACCTGTGATTAATTAAGTCTAATTTTGGGTGGTTCAATAAACAGGCTGCAAACGGAGCTGATGGCCCTAATGGTGAGTTTTATTTTATTTTTATTTTTTCTAATGTCCCTTTTAGGGGAATTATCATTGATAACCATCATAAGCTAACTTTGATTTAATTTGCAATTTAAAACGAAACTTATAGATGGGTGGCGACGGTGGAATCTCGGCTTTCCCCGAGGAAGACAACATATTCTGCTGGAAAGGAACAATCCATGGCAGCAAAGATACAGTCTTTGAAGGCACTGAATATAAACTGTCACTCTCGTTTCCCACCGATTATCCTTTCAAGGCACCGAAGGTTAAATTCGAGACTTCTTGCTTCCACCCAAATGTCGATGTTTACGGAAACATATGCTTGGACATATTACAGGTTGATTGTTGTTGCTTATCATCATCAATTATTTCGTTGCTTTCGCCTTTTTACATTTTTGTAACATCCCTAATTGTCTTAATTCTCTGATAATCTGCAGGATAAGTGGTCGTCGGCCTATGATGTAAGGACCATCTTGCTATCGATTCAGAGTTTGCTCGGAGGTATTTTGTTTGTGCAATATATGTTATTACCATTTCATCAGCCTACTATATTGTTTTTCTTCTTGGTTTTTATTTGTGATACTAATAAAAACAGGTTTTCTATTTTAGAGCCAAACATAAGTTCACCACTCAACACACAGGCGGCGGCCCTTTGGGCCAACCAAGAAGGTATTGTACATTGTATTCGACAATTGTAGCTAAGTATATATATACAGCTGAGATAAATTGTGGTGGCTAAGTATAGTTTTTTGTGTTTTGTTTGGAATGCAGAGTATAGGAAGACGGTGGAGAAATTATACAAGCCGAGTACTTAGAAACTGTCACTAGGATTGGAGTTCACAGAGCTCTATTATTGTTTGGAATTGATTCTTTTTGGGAGTTGTATTTTTTTCACTTCATTCTTTTAAATGTTGTTTTAAAGAGAGGATAGTCGTCTTATGTACGATGTTGTGAGAGGAAAAATAGCATTTCTTTTATGATCAAGAAAAAGTTTTTGTTTACTACTCAAAGATGATTTGTGTGTCTGTATGTCTTTTGTAAGAGGCGAGAACGGTCTTCCTCTAATTCGTTTGTCAAATAAATATGAATGCAGCTGCAATCTATATGCGGCAGGCTCGTTTACAATTTATAGATTCTCGATTTTGACCGTAAAATTGTGCTGAATGAAAGTTCAGTCACAGGTTTCTTGTTTATCGAAAATTTGAAAAGAAGGCTCAAATAAAACGGCCCAAAAAATAATTTTCTCATAAGGCATGCTCATTAACAATGAAACACATAAGATTTCGGCAACCCAGCATAGTTTCGTACTAAAGGCTGTCTGTCAATAGTCGATTTTTTGCCATTGTGGGCTTTTTATTATTGTTCAGTCTCATAAACAGGTCTGTAATAGTTAGAAATTCATAAAATTTCAACATTAATACAAATTTCGGAGATTTTCTCCATTTTCGATATCTCCCGGATTTCTTTAGTCTATAGATTTAATTCATATTATTATCTTGTTTATCGAAAACTCTTGATTTTATTTTACTGCACAGAAATTGTGTGGCAGCTACTATACACACTACAGCATAAATTGAAAAGGAAAAGTAGGCAGATAAGCTGCTGACATAGGTACAAGAATAAATACTATATAAGTTTGCTACCATGTAGAATGATACATACAATAATAATAATAATAATAATAATAATAATAATAATAATAATAATAATAATAATAATAATAATAATAATTCAATTTATTTGCATACTTGTACACCACGAGTTGTCCATCTCTTGTATCTACTATTCAGGTGATTTACAAGTTGCAGGCAATATGCTATGAATGCTGATCGACAAAGCTAACTACTTAATTTGATTAACAATCTACTTTATTTGATCCTTGAACTTGCCCATAATCAAGAATCTATATATATATATATATATATATATATATATATATATATATATATATATATATATATATATATATATAAACCTCAATCCATATCAAGAATGTGGCTATATCCAATTTGTTAAGTGGGGGGTCCCAATTTAATTTTGTTCCTTCTCATTGTGCATGCATATAGATCAAGAAACAGCCGAGAATTGGTCAAAAGGGAGTCTATTTGGGGAATTCTTTTTATTTATTATTTTATTTATTAATTATTTTTTATTTAATTGAAGGAACAAAATTAAAGTGGGCTTAAAGGGTTAAAAAAAGACATGTGATTTAGGGTATATTTGGAGAACCCACATTGTTTCATCCTCTTTAAGGCAAACTATGGCCCATTTTAAGCTGTCGTCCTCTCAACGTATGGATGCATTGCATCTACTTGTTTTATTATTTTATTTTATTATTTATTTATTTATTAACAAAAATACAATTCATAAATAAATTCCTTTTTATTTATTTTATCAATCATTCATGTTATGAATTGGCAACATCCATAAGATTTATAGACTGTGCATTATTTGTCGGGATCCACTTGCTTAGTGTGGTCGACATCGAATTTGTTAATGGCAGGGGTTAAGTAACTGCTTGACGATCGAAATATTTTTTTTCTTCTTCTCGTTTAAAAAATCCCTCAAAAATTTAAAAGCAATTAAAAAAATAATAAAAATATCTCTCATTTACTAAACTAACCTTAGAAGATGATGTAGGTGTAATTAACATGTGCTAAATTAATTAATTATTTTAACAACTATCACTAATTAAGTAGCGCGTTTAAGAAGTGTTTCTTGTAATAATGAAGTTGTTAATAGGGCCCTACTCTTTATCTATAGAGATTCATTACTACTAATTCTATCAACAGTCAATTGGTCACATCCACTTGAAGGAAAAGGGCAAAAATAGCAATTTCATACTAATAAGTAATAATAAAAACAAAGAAACACTAACAATAAATTATTTTGACATACATGCTAACAAGAGACAACACATGAGCCTATTCATTTTCTTGGGGCACATTGTGTAAATTTATTGACATCATTAATACATCTCAAAGTCAAATTATATATATTATACATTTAAACATGTATAAATTAATACAGTTGTGATCAGCAAAAGTCTATTAATTTAGTGAAACATTAAATTATTGTTTAGTATCAATTAAGATATCATATCAATATTGATCACACTCGCATATCTCTCTCATTCTCTCTTAACCGTCTTCTCCTTTATCACTAATGATTTGCAGCATATTTTCAAAAAATGAAGGAATTCTCCTCTAAATGGTCGCCCAAAACTCTAGTCGTGCGTTGGAAGAGCTTCAACGCCGCCAAGATAGAGTTTCAGGCCGCCACGTGCAAATCCTAAAAGATATGAGAAGTCGTTTTTCCTTTGGATGGTCGCCCAAAATTCTAGCCTCGTGTTGGAAGATTTCTTTGGCACACCTTTAAAATTTATTTCATGTTGCGTTAGCTTCAGACATTTGTAGTCCACGTCAATATAGTCGACTACAAGTAGTCGACTAATAAAATGATATTTCACAATTTTCTATCAAAGTTTGTATGGATAGTGTTGTTTGTATATAGTGATTTTTCTTTTTTTAATTTTTTGTTGGGATTGAACAATCAACAAAGGAATCGATTATAGATAACTGATGAAGAAATTATAGTTGATTACGAAATTTTTATAGTTGACGGTTGAAAATTGAAGCAGAATACCAGATAAGAGGGAAATTTGATAAATAAATTATAGTTGATAAGGAAACTAATGAAGAAACTATAGTTGACTACGGAACTGATAAAAAAATTATAGTTGACAACGAAATTTTTATGGTTGATACTGGAAAATCAAATTTTATAGTAATTGCAGGGGCGAACTGTCATACGTGTAACCGTAATCAATCTTATCAATCCGATCAATATTTTCGAACAAATCCTCAAAATGCTAATTATTGGTTGAATTCCAAGATGTAACAGTTGATACAAATTTGAGTATACAAGTATAAAATTTCTTACAACTTCTGCCCTTATTTGCCATATGTGTGGCCTAGAGTTAATACAAATTTAATTGAGAAAAATAAAAAGACAGGGGCAAAATGGGAATTCTTCATTTGGTGTGTGGCAACTGATTATAACAGCCAAAATCAAGGCTTAATGGGGAAATCTGACCAGAAGAAAGTCCCTGGATAGCTGCATTTGCTTTCTGCAAAACAAGAAAAAAATAATCGAATCTGTTAACGGGCCTGAAATTTGGTATCGAACAATTTTTATGGACTATAAAAATATTAATTGTTATTTGTTTGAAGTTTATTACATGAACCTACCTGCATTGTCTCCATGGCGTATGTGTCTGAGTTGAAGTCGAAATACGTGCTGGCTGCTGTAAGTTTCATCGAAAGAAACTGCATTTGAAAAAAAAAAAATTATATATGTATATATATAAACATATAAATTTATATCAAGTATTGATAAATAAATAAATTACCTCTACTTGATTTTGCAAGGATTGCACATAATTGATGATCTCGTCGAACATTACTGCCATTCCCATTGTCTGTTTTCGTGTTTGTTAAGAATGTCAGTATGATTAAAACCAAGATTCTGAATATATATATATATACACGTATATAAAGATTAATCACCTTGTAGCATCCTGGAACAATGTCTTGCAAGCATCGTAATCGCTCGTTGATTTTTCCTCGTCTAACCTGATGCAATAAACGAGATAGTAATAATAAAGTCACAATTTTTCTACAATTAATTTGTTGTTTTTTTTTTAATTTTTAAAAGGATAATAAAAAAGATTAAAAAAAAATATCAATTTTACATGGATGAACTTACTCTTTCTGCTAAGCTATGACTATCAGTGGCTTGGCCCCTTTTGGCTCTGACATGAATCACTTCCCTCGGCTTCTCGTCTTCCTTTTCGTTACCGCCTTTCGCTTTCTTTCCTCTTCGTCCACACTACAAACACATACATAATTAATTACTACAAAATTCATGTCTGAAAAAAAAAATTCGAAAATTTTGATAAAAAAAAACTTACATTTGGCTTTCTAATCCCATTATCGGAGACCTGAGGAGACGAATAAGCGGAACTATTAGCGGAGCTGCTTTCCGGCGTGCTGGTGTCATCGGCTTTCCGTTTCGTGTTCTTTTGATGATTGTTGTTCAGGATCACGGGCTCGGTAAAAGGAGTAACCGCAACGTTTTTATCATCATGGATAAATAATCCAGGGAAATTATCCAGGTTTCCAGGGCCTGGAGATAACTGAGGAAAGATGCTGTCATGGGGAAATGATCCAATCAAACTATGATTCAGCCCTGAAAATTGGTTAACAAAATCTGAGCCTGGATCAAAGTCTTCCAATGAGAAAGACTGTTTAAAGTTTTGGAGGAAGAAATCAGCCATCTCTGTTTTCTCTCTGTTTTTTTTTTTTTTTTTTGCAGACTAATTATTTATGAGTTGTGGATTGTGATTCTCTAATATATATACACACATATATATATAAAAGAAAAGAAAAGGGAATTCAATTAGAGGATGCCACGTGGCGACCTGAGCTTGTAATTTTTGGTTCCCCTGATGGGACCCATATTCAAGAGATATATCCAAAAATATGGGGTCCATTATATTTAGCCACTAGTTTTGCAGCCACAAGTGGTTTGAAGCTGGAAATTAATTTGACCCTCAAATTATAATTACATAATAAGTTAAAAAAGTATGGTGGTAGTAAACAATTTTGAACAGTTTCCAGAGTGTGTCACAATCATTACAATAAATGAATGTGTCTCTTGAAATACATACATATTGCATTTTGCTGTTGTCTTGAGCCAGAGTGCCATTTCTATCAGACTAGGGGCTGTCATTTTTTCTGTCCCTCAGAGTTTTATACCACAAACTCATACAAGACAGAAGAAACAGCTTGGCCCCTTTGTTCCGACTGTCGGAAAAGAATTAGTCGAAAGAGATTATTACAGTCTCAGTAGATGTCGTTCGCCTGGTAAAACAAACTTAAATCACTGTATCAATGAGTAGGAACGAGATCCCTGCTTTATATACATATCCAATGCCAAGAATCATATCCTGTGTATAATGAAAAACTGAGGTAGAATCGAATACAGTCGTCGTTTCTTGAGAATATTCAAGGTGCACCCATATAGCACACTAAATGTATAGATCAATCAATTTACAGGGGCAAGCAGCATTCTGTAACATCTGTTCCCAATTTTCTGTATAACAGAGTCCAATATCAACCAAGGAAAAAGGTAGAAACGAGATCGAACTTCTTCTAAAATATTTCTTGCACAAATATAAAATACTTGAAACACAAAAACTGTTTCCGAGAGATGGAACAGCTTTAGGGCAGTATTACCTGCTTCAAATGAGTTGTATCCGATTCGGACAAATCACTTGTGAATTATGTCAGAATTTTTAAGCTTATATATCAGATTAAACAAACATGTCCACGGACGACAACTTACCTTAAACCAGCTGCATGGTACCAACTGCATTTTGCAGACCAAGTCTCTGTTAGTGTTCACGAATTTCCAGCAACAGCTTAAATTTTGAACACTTACATAGGACTGCAGTTAAGGTACTCGCTGGGATGTCAGAAGCAAAAACTAAAATAACTGGAGGATATATCATTAGTGAAGAAAAAAGCAGCAGTAGATTATTTTCTATCTGCTCTAATTTCATGAAAATCAGCACAATGAACTTTGATTTTCAGTTAATATTTCAGGTTCCATAACATAGGTTTCGGACATCTGTAGTTAGACAATACCTTGTAAACTGAAAAATAAGCGAACAAATCTAATCTATGTTTTCTACTCCCACCACACAGCACATCACCTGACACCGACAACTGTTTGTGGAGACAATTCAGTTGAATCGGAGAGAGCTGTATCTGCTACAGATTCCAGTTCCGGTCCATTGTTTGTCAAACCATCTTCCACAAGGTTTTGTGTTAAGGGTAAACATTCGTCTTTCTTGACCATATCAGAATTGTGAATGGTAGCTTCGGTTTCCACAGCATTTAACGCCTCTCCTTTTTTGTCAACGAAATCATTCGGCAGTAAAATATTCTCGGATGATGGGAACTCTTTATCTTTCTGGTCTGACGCAGAAATGGATTCTGATGACTGCTTCTCCATATTAACAGTAAGAAATAAATCGTTTGATTCTTTATTAGAATTTTCAACGACGCATTCGGTATTGGTGTTATTTTCTAAAACCAGATCAGCCTTGTTGCTTCCAGTTGAACAATGATGAGGACATACAGGAGGCTTCTTATTGAGACATGTGTAGCACTTGAAGCCAATAAGGTTTCCAATTTCACCAGCTCCAAGATTCAAAGCATCTCCATGAAACCAAACTGCAAGTGCAACGAAGAATAATTAGCTCGGAAGAAATTTAAGACTTTGATGAAAACAGAATTCTACTTTTTATCACTTAGAACATTTTCTGCTGCAAAGGTTTGCCAATCGCAAGTGGTAAATACATAATTTATTCCATAACTATAAGTTATTTTTATTGATCTTTTACGGAGATATCATTGTACAACCAAGAGTAATTTGAAAAAAAACAGAGCCATAAGTCGCTCTCACATTTCCTTAAAGAAAGCTTTGTCAAGCCAACACTAATAGCGAACCAAAAAAGTTTATGGCATGTGTGCTGATTTAAAAAGTGAAAATAGATTGAACGAAAATTCTTACCTCCACAAATTTCACAAGACACATAATTCAGCACAGATTTGTGTTCCACTTCGCTGCAGAGACTGCATTTTGGTTTGTCCTGGAAGGAAGTCACCTCTCCAGAAAGCACAAGAAGCATTCGATTCCTGAAATGCGCCAACCTTTCATCATTTGGTCTTCTTGAAAATTGTAGACCATTCAACCAGTAACTGCTATTAACAGGTGTCCTCTTATTCTTCAAACTCTTATTTTTAGACTTCTTAGGTATGACCTTTTCTGCTTTAGCTTTTCTCCCCCTCTTGCGTTTCTTTACCTTGGTATTCTTCAAAGCTAGCTTTGTAACGCGTGCAGCATTTCTAGCAGAACGTCGCAAAGGTACAACCAGAGGAACTCCTTTTCTACCTTTAGGGTTCACTTTTGGCTTCTCTTTCCCCTTTTTTTTCCCTTTCCTTGAGTGGAATGACTTCTTAAGTTTTGAGGACTCGGATATCCCCTCCCTTGTATCAACTTTCACAAGCTTCCCACTCTGGCATTTATGGCAAGTATACGTACACTCAGTGGTTACGGATCCAGCAGATTTCCGAATATGTCTTTTATGGAAAAAGCCTGAAATTTAGTCAAGAATCAAATGAACTGCCATTAACAAGTCATTTATATAATAAAGAGACACAAAGATACGAGACATTGTCAAAGCTCAAATCAAAACTAGTTCGGTAGAAAATATATAGAGATCATATAATATTGTTCTCTCATCGTCAACCCCCTAACCGACCCTACAGTTTTGTCCGTGCACACCACTGCCATCCCCAACCAACTATTAATCATTCCTTTATCAGCTGCTTGTTGTGACACACGGACCGTTTAATAAAAAATCCTACTAATAAGTTCACATAACCAAAAATCAAACAGCATACAATAATTCCAAAATTAAAACCTATTATCTTTCATGACCGTAGATAGTGGACTGTCAATTTCAAACTGCGCAAAATCAATACCAGTGAGTTTTCATGACATCATAGCAATGGCCAATAAGTAATAAAACACCGCTCCTTGCAACCAACAGTCAAAGGTCTGGTTTCCAAGAAACTAAACAAACAGTCGTGTTTAAATGCATGACAAATAGTCTTCATACATCTCAAAAGAAGTTTTAATCAGTAGGTAGCAAGCCTTGATTACTGGGGTCGAGGTTTAGGATATAAATCATGCCCCTCCCTATTTCCTATGCGTACCAGGATTTTTTTTAATTTTATTTTTTAAAGTTTCAATCAGTTAATTCTAATATCGCAATAATAATCTCCCTAAGTTCGGCGAATAATATGAAATGTCAAAGCTGTTAGAGCTGTTAACAGCTTTAAGATAAAAGAGCCATTATTGAAGTATCAAAGAAAGCAAACTTAAAACTAACTAATGTCAAATCAGGATTGTGTCGAGGGGTCAGAAATGTAATATGCATATTTTATCAGATTTTAGTTGACTTTTGTTGTCTGGATGAATCCCAATATTTCAAATGAAATGGGCTTCATAGTATTGTATGTAGCACCTCTGACACCAAATTGTAATTGAGACACCGTGACCTTTCTTGAGAGCACCCAAAAGTCACTCATAGCATAGCTGGTTGGATAACTATCACATTTCAATAATGACTGAATAAGAGGTTCCTTAGAGAAAATTGAGGCATTTACCTTTGCAATGCTGGCAACTGACTGCTTCCCTGCAAATCAATGAAGTAATCAGATCACTGGCAATGAATAAATGAAAATTTTAGGAAAGCATATTTTTAATACCATTCAACTAAAATTATAAATCCCTGCCCTATTCTAGCGCGAGCAATAGATATTTGCCAAGGGGAGAATTGAGTGTGCACAAACAATAGCAAATATTTATTAACTTGAGTGTGTTTCATCTCAAGCAAAGCTAGAAATCTTTTTCTTTAAGATAAAAGTATAAGACACTACATTTACTACTCAAACAGTAAATTCTGGAAAAGGGTTCGTCATTTGATGCTCTAGGATCTCATTTCTGGGTAAATATTCATCATTTATCAGGGAGAATATAACTATAAAAATAAATTAAAGCTATATTATACCTGATTAGAACATCTTTCTTGCAATGCCCACACTGATAATTTTCTAACCTTTCCGCTCTTGCGAAAAGATATTGAAATCCTTTATCCTTGAAGGGCTTTCTCAATTTCCCACTGCTCTCACAAAGATTTCCAGACTTCATCTGATTGGATTTACGAGCAATTTTTTTCTCTTCAAAAGCTTTCAAGAGATGCAATGGAACATAAGACTCCTCTAGCCAATATCTCTTCTTTGCGCTAGAGGAATCTTCAAGTATGGACCCATGTTTAAGAACAACGTCAGGGATAAATCTTCTTTTGCCAAAATCCAGAAGATACCTGACCACTGCTCCCTCAGAACACTTCCTGCGGATTACAACCTTTTTAAATGACCTTGCAGGCTTTTTTGAGTCCTTGTCGATCTTCGAGAGAAGGTTGTTATTCCCAATATCGTCCCATTTAATATTGGCATCAAGCTCCCTAACCTGAAAATGAGAAATGTATTCATGAGCATTTCCTTTCATTATGTATCAGTAAATATTGCAATTTTCTCATCTATATTCCCTTTCATTTCCTAATTGATGGGGGAAGTTCTGGGCGTTTGTTGATAGGGTGAGATAGTTCACTCAATAATCTCAAAAATTCAAAAAAGATCCAGCTTTCTTGGAAAGCCTTGATTTGTTAAGGAGTATACATCTCACTGTCCTTTATGCTAAATAAGGCGAGAACAATGAAAAATACACATAAAATTAACATGCCTGGAGAGCAAGCTGATCCACGCTTGTTGATGACTCAACCGCAGCTCTCCAGGCAACATATTTGGTTCGTTTGGCATAGTCTCCATTGTCAGGGTATAGTATGGTTGGTATCTTCTTACATCCACCTATAACAGTTCAACTTAAAACATGTTCAGATAACTTTTAAATCGCCAAAGAGAACGCGTTTAAATTGAAAAAGAATAAAAGAAGCTTTGAACCTTGTCGAGCCGCCTTAGATGCCAAAGAGCGAGGCAAACTTTTCCAATTGAAGAGCTTACGCGAACTCGTTCCACCCCTCCACCAGAATAGGCTCAGCCCTTTTGCAGCATTTGAAGATGGGGTCCTCTCCACATCAGAATTCTTGATACTTTTCCTGCCAATTCCATGTTTTGAAGACACTCGTGCAGAACTGCTGACAATATGAGAAGCAGATCCCATTGTAGCAACAAAATCCACATGCTTTTGCCAGTCAGCAGAAAGTGCTAGCTGATGCAAATTCGACTCTAGCTGATGACGAAAAATCCCACATAATCAGATAACTGATGCAGAGAACAGTATGCATGCAAACCAACAGATTGTGCTATGGCACCACATGTTCATTTAAGTACTTCCAATGGAAATATTAATTAAAGCCCAAGAGGCAAACAATTTTTCCTCCAAAAAGCCAATTAAAAATGCTAGTTGACACACAGCTTAAAAATTCCTGTAAAATGAAATTCAAGTAATATTAGACGTTATTGTTCCTTTCTAGTGACTCATCCTAACATCTCTCTCAGGACTTATATCAATCTTTCAGAGCAATCCATAGTTCTAAAGTATAAGAAAATTGTTAAATATTTCCCAACCTTCCTTCTCTACGAGATAATAGACATGGACGGATCGATAAGCATCAGCCGTATTACATAAACTACGTGATTCAGGAGCATGAATTCCAAAGGATGTTGAGACATATCAAGAAGAATAAGTTGTATCACAAGAACTTAGTAATTCAGGATCATAAATTTCACTCTTCTATTCTATTTAAGTTGGTTATGGATAAATGTTCTCTTTTATAAGGTTTAGCAGTCTTTTGTTTGAGTTTTTTAGAAACTTCACCAGAGTTACTTAAGAGTGGTTTAGACAAACAGACTTTTAGCAAAGCATGCAGGAATTTCTTGTCTTATAAATACTGAAACAGTGTTGTAGACTGTGGCCATCATAAACAATATATTCAGTTTCATTACACAATATATTAGTTTTCATTACCAGGAGTCTCTCCCAAACCCTACGTATCTTTTTTTACACAATATTTCTCCAAATTTTTTACACTTGTTGACTAAGTTATCAAGTTATCGCCGATCTATCATATTCCCCCTCCGTTACAAGTTTACAGAAGCAACAAAAGAACATAATATACAGATTCAGAGTGTACATACATTTACAGAACTAGAGATAAAGAGATAATATGTGTACCTTGAGCAGCAAATTTTTCAATGGAGCAATGTCGTCCACCCCAAGAACAGCTTTACGCCAAAGCATGGAATAATGTGGATTTAACCATGGGCCCAGCAGAAGACCCTGTAGATGATCTTCGATACATATAATATGGCACATGACATCAATAAGATGGTTCTTCCTGTGTTTTCTTGACTGAATTCCTAAAATGTCTGACGTAAAGTTTTGTACAGCTGGAATACTATCATTCATAATGAAAAGGCAGTCCTTGTCCTCTTCAGGAACTCTACAGTAGAAGCACCACCCACATCCCTCTTTCCTTGAGTTTATATTTGAAATTTGAATATTTGACCAAGAAAAATGAGCAAACCTATCTAATACAACCTTCAGCTGTCGTCCTACAAATTGTTCAACAGATATTGGGGCATTTTCAGAGGTCTTATCTGATGATTTACCATTCCATTCTTCATAAAATGACGATGCTGGTCGAGCAGAATCATAACAGTTGACATAATTCATTCCACAATGCACTTGAGGCAAAATTCCAGTAGATTTTGTGGTGTATGGCGCATAGCTATGATTTTCCAAATTCAGATCCTTCCCTTTCTCAGCACTCACAAGATTCCCTGGAATATGAGATTCATAAGGATTCTCCGGGCATCTTTTCGACAAATCTGGATCACTTTCCTTTAAGGTACCAGTCTTTATGAACGTCTGAGAGACTTCACCCGATCCTTCAGAACTTGCCAAATGATTTTCCATCTTCATTCCATGATCGCCAGCCTCCAACACTGCAGCAGCGTGATCTAAATTTTCAAGTTCTGTATTACAGGAATTGATAGTCACCATAGACTTCTCGTCAGACCTTTTTTCAGCAAAAACATCGTCCTTGTTAAGAGTCTCTGATGATGTCGGATGAATATTGGGCATGGGCAGTTGCCTTTTGTCAGGAAAACCTGACTGTACCGAGCAGGAACGAGTGACCAAATTATTATCGGTCCCACGAACTATATTCCAATTCTTACAGACAGCATTTATTATCGTCTCATATATAAATGGTGATGACGCCAGTGCTTCAATTAGGGTAGGTAAGTCATTTCTATCGTAGGAACAAAATGAGTACTCGTTGCTGCATGACTCTAACCTGCAAATAATCAGTGCAGGGGTCAATATAAATTCAAAGAATGGCTAGATAAAAATTTAAATAAATATTCTAATATAACCATTAGCCAAAGGATCTAAAAATTCTTAAACACACAATAAACATGGAAGAAGAAAAGTTGTCTATCAAGACAGTGCATGCTAAAAAAATTGGGCAACTTTTAGCTAGCCAAATCATAGTAAATGATCCAACTTAAATGGCTGAGGTAAAATTAATTTGGTGTCTACTAATTACACAGGTGTGCACAACTTTTATCATGTAAAACAACCAGCTAATCGAAAGGATTAACTACAAAATCACGGAGAAAATTAAAAAAGATACTTAGTTCCTCAACCGTTAATCACAAATGCACGATCTACCTAAAGAAAAGTCAAGCGTCGGTCAAGATTAAAACCTCCAACTTAGTTAAATAGCATCAATAAAGTAGATTAGCTGACTCAAGCATAACGAGAAATGTCATTTTATGGGATATCCTACTAGTAATTAATTACAGCTAAAGTCTCATTCTAAGCTAATCAATAATTGTAGTACATAGTTTTTTTGGAATCTAGCGATTGAATTGACCGTTATAGTATAACAATATACATGAGATCAAAATTTGCTATTACTCTTGTGCTAGTAATACTGAATAAAAGCAAGTTATGTATATGCGATATCGATCAATTTTATTAGGTGTGTTAATACAAAACAACATTGTCTCTCGACTCAACCAATTGCAGCAAACGATAACAACACGGACTTGTTTTTATTGATAATATTTATCTCTTTCCCATGTAAAGTTGCCATATCTACAATCGAAGATATCAAGAAACAAAATATGAGTAAATTCCTATATAGTAATGAGTTTCAACCTTTAAAATCAAAAATACTCTACGCCTTAGTGAAGTATGGATAAGCATTATACACGAGTTGTCTAGAACCAAATACCATACGGGTGATAACCAAGAAGCTTTCCGTCCGACGATATGATTTAACATATGCTTACGAACTTAACAGCTAGCATGCAAAGTAAATGAAATATAGAATAGGAAGTTTCGGGTAAGGCAATACAAAATATTCCTTGATGTAGAACTCGTGAACTAAATAACAATGATACCAGCTAGTTATTTTGGCACAAAATACATGTGAGTGTATAACTAAAAATTAAATTAAACCACTTAATCAAGAATGATTAAGTAGACTAATATAGATTTTGGGACATTCTAATGTACTTTAGTAAAATTAGTGTATTCATTCAGAAATTAATTAGATAAAAAAATTGCAAAAATGTTTAGTTCGTAAGATATAAAACAAGTTTATATTATGAAAGAAAAAAGATGTATGGCAAAAAAAATTAATCGAAAACAAAGAAGCTAGGATTATGGCATGTTTTCATTCTCCCTGAATAAAATCAAACATTAATACATTCTCCCACATATTCCCCTCTAAAAAACTTTTCTCTTCCTACAAAAATATTTCAAGAGATCCTAATTATTACTTGATCAAATAATTGGGAAGGTCCATTATGAATATTCATAATCTTGTTTTTTAACGTGAATTGTACCACTGATGTTATACGCTTAAGCTAAACAAATTTAAGGAAAAAAGATGGTGTACTATATTTTAGCTTTCCCAACTAATGCTCAGCCATCCACGGAGAAAATAAAATGCAAGAAAAAACCAAAAGGCATACTTGAGATTGGCCAGGGTATAAAAATTAAATGATAAGGTCTGAAGTGTCAACATCACAAAATTTATAGGTTTTGAGTAAATCAATGATGTTAGGGATAAGACTAAACTGCTAGGCACTGCCTTTTACCAATGCCATTTCCCACAACTCAAGAATTTTGAAACTTTAAAACAAGTTTGGTGGACAAACTCGATGATATACTATGCAGGTATTAATACTACAGTTAACCCATTTTATTAAAAAAAACAAAAAAAAAAAAAAAAACAAGATTCTCGTAATTTTGCAGCTAACTTTATAAAGTGGAACTTACACCAACAGGTAACCACAGCTGATATAAAATAGCCGTCCATAAGGATCAGTCCCCAACAGTTCTGCCCCTCGAATTGACTTTCCCACTTTCATCCAAGGCTTATCCTTCTCGATCGCACACTCAGGACAGTACCAATCACCCTCAGGCAACAGGCTGCTGATAACCCCAACACACCTTGAATGGAATGCTGCTGGGCAGCCGTCGCAGCATATTAAATTTCCGTCCATCTTACAGAGACAGCATTCATCACTATTCCAATCTGCAGATTCCTCGTCATTCTCTTCTTTAATGCATGAATCACTAGCAACATCTATTGCAACCTTTCTTTTTCTGGAGCTGTCTACTTTTGCATTACGCTCCAAATCTGTGTGGCGATCGGTTACTAACATCCTTCTGTTTAGCTCTGACCTGAACGCTTCCACTTCCATTACATCATCACAAAGATGCCGCAGTATCTCAACTTTCGCTGAAGCTGGCATTTTATAGAAGTCGTTCTGAAACAACTTCAATTGACAAAGATCTAAACCAGGGATATTCCCAGGACTGTGCAATAACAGATACTCAACCACAAACATTGGCCATGTGATCAGGTCGAGAAGATCCCAATTAAGAGACCTAAGGCAAAATTTAAATACAGGAAATAAGTACCACAAAATGGATTTCAAATGTATACATTTTCTAGCAACAGTGGACTTGATACCTGAGGCAATCAGATGCAGACACAGAACCTTCTTCAGAAAGAGACTCCAAATGCTTTCGTAGTGGTCTTAGAAGGGAAACATGAATGTAGTCGAACAATGTTGTCGAGTCATTACATTTAACAGATGCCACAAAATCATCCAGTTCGAAGGGGCTTAAAAGCAACAAAGTACTAAATGACCTCAAAAACGCATAAACAGAAACAAAATCAAACACCGAAACTCCCGCTAAATCCAGGTTGCAAGAAGAAGGGGGCAACTCCACTTTTGGCGGAAGGAAATCATGATTCACGGATTTTCTACGAGCCGGCTTCACAATCTTTTCATCAGATATGGCGCTAATTGATGGAGATGACAACTGATGATTAATGCCATCCAACCCTGACAAGTCAAAAGCTTGATCTAGATCAGAAAATTCAGCTCTTTTTGCTCTACGGCTGCTTCTTCTCAATCCTGTCTCTGGCGTGGGCAAGGTAATATCATTATTTAGTACCTCTTTTCTCTTCCTACCTCTTCTCCCTCTCACTGCAGTTTCTGAAATTCCGTTATCATAATCAACTGAAACATTACCGTCTTTTAGCGGGGTTTCGTCTTTACTTTCCAACTCTAGTTTCACATTCTCAGTTCTAGAATCCTCCTTTGGAGACTCGGGTGCAGCCAACACAACGTTGTTATTTGGTGCATCCTTTCTCTTTCTACCCCTTGTCTTCCTCTGATGACTTACTGGAGTAAAATTTTCATTGTCAACCTCAGTAGCACAATTCTTCAATGAGGCATCTTCACTCTTCTGAATATTTTCTATAAAATTTCCCTGGTCCCCAACCACATCCATTGGAACTCCCTTACTATCATCCACCTCCAAATTTGCTTCAAATTTCCCCTCACGAACCGTTCCATTTGTTTCATATTTCCCCTCACAAACTTCCGAAGTCCTAGCCTCATCCTCCATTAACTGTAAATTCAAGTCAAACTTTCCCTCTTCTCTTGCACCACTCAAATTCTCAGGATCCTCACTTGCATCCAAGTTCAAGTCAATCATTTCTTTCTTTACTCGATCAGTAACTTCTTTATCCATATCCAGACGCGATCCCTCATCCAATTCTAAATTCACCCCCTCATTCAAATCCAACCCGTTCAGCGTCGCCCCATCCCCAACACCATTGACCCCATGATCATCATCACCAAAATGATTCACCGCAGCAGCATCGTTCAAATCCAGTCCATCATTCAAATTCAAGTCAAACTCCCCCGAATCCCCTTCCCTAACTACAGAATTATCACAAACCCCACTCTCAACAGCTGAATCATCATTACAATTACCTTTATTACCAATGCGGGGTCGCTTCTTCGGCTTACGCCCCCGTTTCCTGGCAGGCGGCTCCGGTGGCGGCGGAGGCTCAGTGGACACCAACAGCGAAGAGACGGCCAAAAAATCCAATTCCTCGGAATCACCGTCGTCGTACACGATCTTAAAAAACCTAGTCGCCTGCTCGTACGATTGAACCACACCGAAGAGCGTCCGGTGCCCTAGGAACTCCTTCTTCACCCTTCTCCCCACATACTCCATTCCCCCCCAATTTCAAGGAAAAAAAATGAAGAATCGAAGTTGAATTTCGGAATAAATACACATATAATTAGCAATAGTAAAACGTCAGCATAATGATC